CCCCAAAACCCCAAAACCCCAAAACCCCGATCATCAACTATTTAAAAAATTTTAATTATCAAAAATAATCATTTTATCTTCAAATATCGATTTATCAATTGTTAATCTTTTGAATTATTTATGAGATTGAAGCCTTAATAAAGTCCATATCTCCTTTTAGGCTGTCAATATCAGATTTAAGTCCATTCATATTCTCTTTTATATAGACTTAAATCTCTTAAACCTTTTGCTCAATATCCTATTTTATCTCATGTTTCAATTATGCTAAGTCCTCTTTTTGTAGTCCATCAATTTATTTTTTAAGACTTGAGAGCTCAGATGAATGAGTTGAGATTATTTCGCTTTTAGATTTTGATGAAGTTGTTCTTATGGTGTACTTCAAATCTTTGATGAATCCTTGCCATTCTCCAACCTCGTTGGCCTCATTTTTAATTTATCTTCTGACCACTATGTAATTCGGAAAATAATCTTTTCTGTTTAGCGCTTTAATTGAAAACAATTCTTCTCTTTCCATAATCATATTAGCCTTAACTTTGTAGGATTCAGCAATAAGCTTTTACATGACTCTTTCATAGGATTCAGATATCACAGCAATGATAAAGTTCATAAACACAATATTGAGAGTAAGAACTGCAATTATCCACATGATCCAAGATAAGATAGCTAATATGTCATTTTAATTCTGATAATCTTCCAATTAAAAATCTCCAGAGGATATTCTAAATGCCATTAAGAAATAAGCTATTCCATTTACACCCTTGTATTCTTCTATAAATTCAGCCTTAAATAAAACTAAGAAAATCATTCCAAAAAGTAAGATGAAAATTAGGAAAAAGCAGATAAAGTATTTAAGGTCCTTGAAGACGCCAGCCATCATCTGAACTAGGAAGCTAAATCCATCGTAGATTCTCAAAAAGTAGAATATCTTTAAAAAGGATAAAGCAATTAAAAGAATCTTAATCAGGATTAGTATCTCTGATTCTTCATTATTAAATTCAAGATAACAAAAAGCAATGAAGGCTATAATATGGAAAAAGTCATAGTAGTTCCATGCATCTAAAAAGTAACTTACCTTTTAAATTCTTATCTGTCTTATTTCATGAATCAGAAAGAAGATTAAGACTAAACCGCATATTATTTTCGTTGAGATTTTAACAAGGATATTTGGTACATAATCTTCAGGATTATCATCTGCTTGTTTCACCTCTTGCTATTTAGTATAATCATTGTAACTTTTGGAAGAGTAAGTTGTGTAAAAAATATCAAATGTAAAAGCTGTCATAAATATCAGATAGATGTAAAATTAAGTCTAGTAATAAGACAGAGTATATTTCTTCCATTTAAAGTTAATAATGCTCTGAATAATTTGATTTTCAAAGTATTCTGGCTTATCTGAATTGCTTAATACTTTCATTAATTCAGTGGGATTATTTATCAAAGTTTTAGGTAAGTTTATAAGATTATACTCTATCGAATTTAGTGATTCATCTTCTTAGTAGGATAATTCCTTTAACTTATGTCCGAATAATTCTTCGTATTTTTGATGGACATCTTTGGCTTGATCAAGAGTAATACCCTCCACAAGTTCCTATTCATCAGAGTGTTGAATTGGGAAAGATGGATCTAAAATTTAGTATCTTACCAAGTTACTGTCAAAATATTCTTGCAAATCTATCTATTGTTTTAATAGCTCACATAAATTCTTATCTATAAGCTAGTTGAACATTATGTGGTTTTAATATTTGAGCACGATTGAGAGAATTAAGTTTATTATCTTTTATTGACGGTTTTTAACTGAAATGTCTAAAGGAGAGGGCTGTCCACGCATTTTTGGAGTTATTAGGATAGGTAATGCTTGCTTATCTCTGAGTGAAAGCTATTTGACAATAATTTCAAGGACAACCAAATTGTTTTAAAACATATTGAAGCATGTACCATAACCTGAAATTAACTTGGTGTACTTATCAACATCTTGAGTAATTTCTTTTATGAT